TGATTACCTACGTGGTGCATGCCATGGTTTTGCCTCAGTTAAGGGTTGCAGGGACTTTGCGAATACCAACCAACAGTTGTCGATTGAATTCTGGCTCAGAGCTGTCCGAGTCCTTAACATACCATACGCTAATCATGCAACTGCCACGTTAGCGTTTTTATTGCCTTGTGATCACACCGCACGCCATGACAAATTTAGGCATGGCCATGGGTCTGGTATTGAGAGCCAAGTCCGGTTCGCAGTGGTTTCCGTCATAGTTTGGAGCATCGCGCATTCTGCCGTCTGATGTTCGAGTTGACCAGTTCCCTGCGTATGGGGTGAAAGTTTTCAGTGTTCAAGATCCTAAAGGATAATCCAACCTTGGTAGCCTGTGCTTGGGTCATTCAACTCTTCTGATTTTTTCTCGTATGATTATTATGTATTCCTCATACAATCCTTGTCAACAACGTCTTTGACGATGACGAGATCCATCCCGGATCACATGTAGTACGTTCGTTCTCCCCGCGTCTTTGGTCGTAAGATCATGGTAGGGCTCATTTGATCCGTGCTGCTAACGTACCTGCTCGGTTTCGGAGTGAGCCTGCCTCCGTGACGCACGGCTCTGTGATCTAAGTGAAGGCCTCTGGACCCGTAAGCCAGCGACGCTGGGTGCAAACCTCGAAGCGAGCGCGTTGTCGTGCCGGACTGATATGATGAGGCCTGCTGACGCCTGGCGTAGTTCACCGGACCCCGGACGGCTACAGCACAGCAGTGCGCAGTACGCGAGGTCTTGCACAGTTCTGGCTGACAGTACGACCGAAGGCGAAATGATCCGACGGGCTAGGTCGACACCACTTGGGTTGACGACTGCGGGGTACACGCAACGAGCTCCGCTTGGGAATGCGCTAAACTCGACCGCCCATCAGCTTCGCTGGGGCTCAGGCTCGTTATGAGTTCGGAATCGGCTCCGATTCCGGCCGGACTGGGACCCCCGGTCCTCCACACCTCGCAAGCTCCGCGCGCAAAACATTCAGACGCAAGGCTGTTTGAGTCGCTAGTTTTTTAAATATGAGATGTCAATAACGACATATTTTATTCGTCCTGTGAACGCATTGCGAAGACCACGTTTACATGATGTCACCTTTGGCGTGGTTGTCATCGACGGTGCTGTCCGCGTCCTGCATTTTTGCACGCACGGCAGTAAAACATTTGTGGGTTATTAGCACTGGCGATAAACGGCATACCAAATACCTGCACGGAAACAGAATCACGCTTCTAGAAAATGAAGTTCGTGCCTCACTATAACGGTCGAAGTCTGTACACTGCCACTGCCTACATTGTTCAATAGTCATTAGGTTTTAAGGGCGCGTCGACTGCAAGGGTCATTCGCGCCTCTTTCACTGCATTATCGCTACGTTGAGTCAGATGTGTGGCAGCACGTCTTGTACGACCGACCTGAGGTGCTGGAAGTAGCTGAGCACCATGTCAGCCTTCACGCCCTCCAGCGCCTCCGCGTGCAGCCTCTCGCGCGAGGTGAGGTCGTGTCGGTAGTCGGGCTCCGGCGGCGGCCGGCCGTCGTCCGCCGCCTCCCGCGGCCGCCGCGGTCGGCTCCCGGCGCTGGCACGCGCCTCGGCCGCCAGCTGACTGGTGATGAGCGTGTCGCCCCAGAACAGCTCGCCGAGACTGCGACCGCCGCCGTTGTTGTTGTTATTGTTGTTGTTGTTGCCGCCTCCACCGCCTCCGCCGGTCCCGCCATTGTTATTATTATTGTTGTTATTATTATTGTTGTTGCTGCCGCCGGTGCTGTTGCTGGACAGGTTGATGTCGATGTCGATAGTGGCCATGATGTTGGCCGTGATGTCCAGCATGAGCACGGCGACGGCGAAGAAGCTGAACAGGCCCGTGTTGCTGGTGCGGCAGACGTAGCTGGGCTGCGTGTTACCGTAGCCGTGCTCGGCGGCGCCGTAGTCGCGTCGGTGGCGGCCGGGCCGGTGTCGCTGCCGCCGGTGCAGCGTCCGGGCGGCGCGCGCCAGGCCGGCAGGCGTCCGAGGCGCCGCGCACCGCTGCCCCTGTTCATCCAGCTCCGCCAGTAGCCGCTCGATGTGCGCCAGCCGCAGCCAGCCGCGTCCCGGCTCCGGCTCCGGCTCCGGCCTGGCGGCCGGCGCATCGCCGAGCACCCAGAGGCGCGTCCACTCCAGCGCCGCCGAGACGGACGCCAGCGCCGTCTCCATGGCGACACGCGAGGCACCACTGCGGCGGCCCGGCCGGCTGGGCCCTTGGACGCCGTGACGCCGTCACCGGGCCGTGACGGGCCGTTACGCGAGGCGCGGGCGCCGCTGGTTGGTAGGTCAGGCCGGTCACGGCCCCGGCCGCGCTCGGCTGCGCCGGCGTTAAATATCCGAGCACGTGCTCACATTTGCTCCCGGATTCCTGGGTGGTGCTCGCGCGCATCCGCAAATGAAAATTAGTTCCTGCAATACCAGTTCAAAGACGGAAATGGAAGCAAGAAAATTTGACGAGGGCATGATGGTCTCGGGGCCGAGACGATAAGATCGCGAGCCTAGGTGCATCGACAATGAGGGTAGACCTCGAATGGTTAGGTGCACCTACCAAGCCGATGACCTGGATCATAGGTCACTCCATGTTCCGAGAGGCCCATGACTCGATAATGCAATATTCCTGCGATGTCAGTTACGTAAGTAACGATATCTGACATCGCATGTTGCGCACGGATGTGATAAGCATCGCACGCAACGGATGCCACGCGGCAACAAATTAGTGCGACTTTCGTCTTTGACAAACGTCGCACGCGACAAGTTCATGGGTGTGCTTCCAGCTGATGCGACCCGACACAGATGTGATAGACTCTGGTTATGTTTAAAGTCTGGGAATCGATCCCCGTCTCCCAGGATTCAGTCTTGGACTCGTATTCATGCACAATACACGGTCCATGTACGACAAGGCTGAATGGGCTCGGGCTCTGATTCATCCTACTTACTTTAGCAACTGGAGCTGGGCCTCGAAGCGGCAAGTCCCCACAGACTGGAGACAAATGACTTTGTCTGGGGCCGGACTCATGTCCTTGGGCGCCCACGTCATCGGGGTAGCGCGAACACGATGCGAACCGTTCGGTTGGCCTTGCAAGGACCACCCTCACTGGGCTGGCGATACTTTCCTTGTGGACGACGTTCCGACCCTGTGATGGGTGCTGTAGTGACGGTACCGCTCTGGTAATCCGCCGTATGAGACGATAATCCCCGTTGAGCGGCTTTACAACGGGTCCGACTCTGCCTGCACTCGATGGGCTGATGCCCTACTCTGGTTCAGGGGCGGATCCAGCGCTGATTTTTTGGTGGGAATGGGCAATCCATTCATGCTAGCAGCTTCCCCATGAAGTGTCAACGACGTTGAAGCCAAGTGCATGTTGTTGGTTTTTTCAGCGGCTCGGCACGGTCCGTGTTCCTGTTGCCTCCCAGCATCCCGCCTCCCATCTTGGATCCCTTGCCCGATTTGGACAGCGTCGTTCCATCGCGAGAATCACGGACTGAGTGCCGCTGCACCGCCAATCAGCAAATATATCAGGCCTGATGTTGCTTGGTGTTTGCCGGTCCAGCCATCGCTCTTTTTTAGAGACGCCTGCGCATCGTCAGACCAGTCAGCCGATGTGCGCTGTCGTGGAATGTTGAGGTAACAATGCAACGCAAGTAGTTTGTTTCGAGTAACTCACTTCCACTTTATGATACGCAGATTGTGTCTTGTTTGCAAAACCACGCACCTCAACATCCGGTGCATGGGGGTGGACCGCACCGCGAACTAGGTGAAGAAAGCAGTCCTGGGCTAGGCGACCCTGAGAATCTTAGCGAAGAACGGCGTGCCTCCTGCTCAGTGAAAGCGCTAAGCATTTCAGGCTACCAAATATCCTAATGTCAGAACCGTGAGCAAAATGTTGTTTAAAGTTATCGATGTTATTTTAAGATCGTTATATTACATCACACAGCACTTGTGTTAATTTCCTTGGATGGCGCGCGACCGTGCTCTGGCTCAGCGACGATGAGAAAAACAAATTTAGTGGTGGAACTTACATACATTCCGTTCTGACTCGCTCGCGCGCCACGATTGTCTGACACACTTTCACGAGAACAGCTTGTCGTTCGGCGTCAGCGCTTTCTTTTTGCGATAAAAATGTCTTGTTATTTTTGTCTTTTTAAGTGACGATAGGTTTGCTTAGACTGTTCTTCAACTGTAAATTCACTGTGCCTTTTTGCGTTGATTGCGATTCTTTGATGGACTTCGTCAACCAGTTGGAAAGTAAGACTCGTTACCTGTGACTTGTGTGCTGTGTATCGAGTGTTGGTATGTCTGATTTCCTCGTGTCGGTGGAAGGAGAAAATTAATTGTTTTTGTGGAACCGAATCCTCACTGCATGATGTGCTCCTTATGTCTTGAACATGATGATATAACCTTTTCCTCTTTTTACCAACCTGCACAACGGAAGGATGAACTAAACTGAAGTGTTTCTGCTGTGCACACTTTTTGCATTGATGTCAGCTTCCCAGGTAAAGGGGCTATGAGATTATCAATATTGGCAGCATGATTTGCCATTGCAATGTAGCAGATATACAAATGCTTAACTGCCAATGTACCCATGCATTCTTTTCACAGTAATACAGGAACTTACCCTCTGCTATTCATCATGTGATATAGCTGAGAAAATAGTCTGTGTGGTATGTCTGCATTTACGTGGAAAGGGATAGGGCTATTATTGGTGAGGGTGCATCCTGATTTGCGTACTAGTGTCCCTATACTAGCATTGAACTTGCTTGCACTGGGCTCACATTGGACTACAGGTTATTAGTTTTGTTCACAGGTGTTGCTTATGAGGTTATAATTTTCATCTCAGCCATGTGCTTGCTGATGCAGCATACTTTATGGTCAACACCATACTATACTACAGAAGAAAGCATGGCATCCAGAAATACTCAAAACCTGCAAAACTCAATGTTATAATTGTGCCAGAACTTGATAGGTTAGTGTGTAAAGTAATGTAAAGCTTATCTTTCTGGTGCCTGCATTGAAGTTCAGTTACTTTTAATATACATTTTCACAGCTTGTGTACTGAATAAGATATCAGTTGTTTATACATAACAAGATTGTGTGATTACCTGAATAGGAGCTTGAATATTGGGGATTCACAGGCCATGTGGCCTTTTATTTTTCTTATCACCATAAGGTAAGGTTAGGTGTTGAGTGTAATGCAATAGTTATCATTAAAAATATTAAGTTATTGATAAATTTATGTTATTTTATGCATGTACTTATTATATTTACAATTTATTAAGCATCTTTAATTAGAAGACAACTAGGTATAAATGGACCATGTAATATTTATGATATTTTGCATTAGACTATTTTTTTTAAGTATCACTCATATAGTTTGTTAGCACAAGTGTCTGGAATATTTTTTATTGTGTAAGATGACATGAAATTGTGCTAGAACTGTGCTTGTTTTAAGCAATGTTTGTTACTTGAAGTGTTCCAACTTATATGTGCTATATTTTTTGTTGGGTACTGCCTACAAAAAATATATGCACTGCTTTTAGTAATATGTCCATGAGCACCAAACTCAGAGCAGACCAAGTTGTGCTGAATCTTCACCTTATTTTTGCCTGAAGGAGTTTTTTGGGGGAGTGTTGGCTGAAAATTCCTAAGTACTGTTTTAATTCCTTTTAATATTGGCTCTCTATGATCTGAAGTTTGTGGGCACTGTTTGCTGAGCTCTGGGCCCTCAGAGTGATTGCATACATGCACTAAAATTGTTGTGGCATTGTTACTGCCATGCTGAATGTGTTTGACATAACACAAAGTTTTTGCAAACTGACTGTAAGGGACATAGTCATGGGGAGGGCTATGAGGCCTATACCCAACCCATTGAGCCAAGAGACCTATACTGGACAATGGATTATTTTGCCAGAATTAGGTAAACCTTTGCAGGACGCCAGAACGACGTGGCATCAGTCCCTGAGAACATTTATGATTGTGTGCTCAATGACTGTATTAATTATTATGCTGCTGTGACCTGAAGGTATCAGCAAGATGTTCTGAGAAGGCTTTGTTCATGTGATTTGTTTCTTTGGCTGGTGTTTATGTTAATTAGAATGATCACTGAAGGTTTGTAATGTGATGACACAAAGTAGACATCCAGTCTTGAATTCTACTTATATTGCTAAAATATACCAAATTTGACCATTCCCCACTTCAAAGTGGTGTTTTCCTCACATAAGGTTTTAGATGTTGTACCACACATGACTGCCACCTTATCAGAAAAGGGTCAGCAATCTTGAGGCATGTACCAGCTGGACTATGGTCTTTCGACACCAAACTGAAATGATGCATGTTAAGGTGAAATCTGTCATGTTATGAAGTGGTTAGTGACATTTTGTGTAGTTTGTTCATGTTCCAAAGCAAGAAATTAGGGATTTGCCTTATGGTTTGCTTTTCAAAGCATCAAATATCAGTCATTCGGCCTGCTTAGCATAGGTGTATAACGTGCAATTTTATAATCTACAATTTTGTGCTCAATTTTTCATGTACTTCAGTGCTCGGCGCAGTCAGGACCTATCCATGAACTTACCGGAACTTAAGCAGCCATTATCATATACCATCCCAGTCACGGGAAAATAGCAAGCATATGAAGTGACATTGCCCTGCCACAAATGCATCGGGAGGCATGTGCTGTGCTTAATTGAGCTAAGGCCATGAGCAAAGCACATCATAGCTGTTAACCTGGCACAAAAAATATATTTGTTTGCCTCCATGGCATTATCATTTTCAGCATGATTCAGGACTTGCAAACTCATTGAAGCATGCTGTTACATTAAGAAATTTGACAGCTCTGCTACCCAGTGCCTTACAACAAACAACTGAGGGTGCATGTTGTCTGGGTCACATATAGTAGAGGGACAGCCCAGGGGGGGGGGGGGCTAGATTATGTTGTGCCTGGATGTGTTAATAGTAGATGATATAGATATGTCAGTAGATAAACATAGATTACTTGTGCTCTCACATATGTGACAGCCAAATTGCATGACATTTTGTGATATTGTATAACCTGATTTTGGTAATCCTGTATGTTGCAGCAAGCTTTTTGCAACCAAACCCAGCCAGCTGGAAACAGAATTGTAGGGATTATGTGATTATGTCTGTGCTAAAATTCATTAGATGTTAATGACCTGGATTTGTCAGCACACTTATACAATGCAGCTGCAAGGTGTGTTCAAATGACCATTTGTGATGTTTCTTAAACTCACAATACTCCTTCATTTCATGCCTGGTTAAAGTCCACTTCTTAATTTAGACAGTTGGGTTGACTTAGTCCATGTCTGAACAGCATGCTATGCTTGGTTACAGATATGACCGCAGTGGGAGCACAAGACTTGTAAATGGCACTCCTTGGCACTCATTTCCATTAGTTGTTCACCTTGGACTTTGAGAGGCTGTGGATCCAACTGGCACTGAAGCGATTCACCCATGTGTCAAAGTTAAGATAATGTGTTATGCCAGTTGCATTATTTTCAACTAAGATGTGGGCATAGGTGAAGGATCATTTCCGAAAATTGAGCTGTTAGGCCCATCCTCAATTTGATTCTTTCCATATCCCATCATGAGGTTAACATTCAAAATTTCTGGGAAGTTCAAATTCAAAAGGACGCCGTGACGCCCACCCCTCCCGCTGAATTTCCATGCCCATGGCTGTGGATCACCTCGTATATGTGATGATTTTGACCTCAAACTTCTTCAAGGATGTGGGTCAAATGTTTTGTGGGACGGCTGTGGATAGGAGACCTTGCCAGAGGATGGGTGTAGATACCTTGACCTCTCCATCTGAGTTGGTCGCACCACTCAAGTTTCAGTTCAAATTTTAATAGTGCTTTTACCAATATGGATAAGTTCTATGTATTCCCATGGCATGTCATTTGAGTAAGGCTGGCAGCCAGTTGTGCAAGCCTCATCAGTGTGGTTATGTGACACAGAGCACTCATCCGTCACTCATTTCGGTCGGCCGTCTGAACTCCAGTGCTGTGCAGCTGAGCAGCAGGGATGTCACTGATGGTGCTTTGTGTCTTGGCAAATCTTCAGTTTCAAACTTGGTGCAGAATTCTCCAGCTCCTGACTATTCTGCATATCGTGACATGAGCTCGCAGTACAAAATCGGGTCGATGACGGGAAACGTGATGTATCTGCCGACTCACTGAGGCGGGGAATGGGGCTGTAGCCAGCTCAACAATACTGCACCGAAACCCCCGGGGCGATGTCGTGGCCGCACATGTGGACGGTGGCAAGCAGTCTGTGCGCCCTTGCAGCTCTGCACGCACAGGATTGGCGGCGAACGCCGTGGGGACACGGCGGTCCGCAATGGGAGGCAGATTATCGCGTGCCTGCGGCCGAGGTGCAGACTGAGAACGTCGCGTGCATCGGGTCAAGGCGTAGACTGAGAACCTCGCGTGCCTCGGGTCAAGGTGTAGACTGAGAACCTCGCGTGCCTCGGGTCAAGGCGTAGACTAAGAACCTCGCGTGCCTCGGGTCAAGGTGTAGGCTGAGAACCTCGCGTGCCTCGGGTCAAGGCGTGGGCTGAGAACCTCGCGTGCCTCGGGTCAAGGTGTAGACTGGGAACCTCGCGTGCCTCGGGTCAAGGTGTAGGCTGAGAACCTCGCGTGCCTCGGGTCAAGGCGTAGACTGAGAACCTCGCGTGCCTCGGGTCAAGGCGTGGGCTGAGAACCTCGCGCGCCTCGGGTCAAGGCGTAGACTGAGAACCTCGCGTGCCTCGGGTCAAGGCGTGGGCTGAGAACCTCGCGTGCCTCGGGTCAAGGCGTAGACTGAGAACCTCGCGTCCATCGGGTCAAGGCGTAGACTAAGAACCTCGCGTGCCTCGGGTCGAGGCATAGGCTGAGAACCTTGTGGGCCAGTGGTCGAGTCCCAGACTGAGAACCTCGCGTGGCTTGGATCAGGGCGTAGACTGAGAACCTCGTGAGCCTCGGATCAACACATTAGAGGCGGGCATTGCAAGTGAACGCAAATTTTCATACTTATAGCTTAGCCGCAGGAAAGGACAAAGCGTTCAGGTTCGTCTATCAGGTGGTCAGTCCCAGGCTGACCCAGTGTGTTCAAGCAGAGAGGCTCTCATTTTGTTGTCCCGCTGATAATTTGGACGTCAAAATTTAAAACTTCTTGCATCACACATTTCGTGTCTGTCGTAACCGCTCCAAACTGAGGACCAGTGCCTAATGTAAGGATGGACATGCCCCTAAATTATAAGTTTTTCGGTTTCAAAGGTAAGCATATGGCTTAACTTTGTCAGGCGAACTAACACGGCACAACGGCGTTTCGCACCGTAAATATCTCGTTTCGTGCTTACGTTAGAATCTTTTGCGATCTCATGAATCTGCATGGGTCTTAAACTTGAAGGAAAGGAATGTTTCTGGCCCAGATGGATGAAAAAGCTCCTGGCATGTTGTCTCGTGAAACTTACAGACTGCAGTGTTTTATTTTACCAATTTGTGGGCGATCCTGAGCGAGCGAATTCGGATGGAAGATCAGCGTTGGCCGCACGCTAGCGATAAGATCAGTATATCTAGCACCGTCTTGCCGTCTCCACGGTCTGTGGGAAAATGCTGGGTTCGTGATCCAGCCGCGCTGGGTGTGAGTCCCAGAGCGGGCGCATTGTTCGACCCGATTTCGGAATGGAAAGGTCAGCTGGCAACTGACCAACGAAGATTAGCCCAGGCCGTGTTGCAACGATGTTCGGCTCGTGTGAGTCTCCGGACTCCTGTCTGACGAAAAGAGCGGAGACAAAATAATCCGAGGAATTGGAAGGCATGGCTTGGGTAGCGGGTCCGGTGGACCTGCAAAAGTTATGGTGACCGGGTACACTTAAACCAAAGCCACCCATGCAACCCATGCAAACTAACCTTGCAAACCAATGCAAACTTCAGGTTCCAGGTTCGTGATCCAGCCGCGCCAGATGCCAGCCAGTTGCCAGATTAGCAGTGCACGAAAACAGCGTCGGTGGCGCGTGTAAACCGTCCGCAGCAAATAGAGGGGTCTGGTCATTCGTATATAGTGAGGCTGGTAACGGTGATAGGACGCTACCCTGAACAGAGCTGGGGATGACCGGAATATGCGCCAAACATCCGGCGGCCCGACGAGCGCGGCCAGATGGCCAATCACGAAGCTGTTCTCTGTCAGTCTGTAAGCCCAGCTTCTTCATGGGCCGACCATGCTCTACACTGCTGTATTCGTCTGTGGTGTTAAATGGTGAAACAATGAGTCGGTCAGTCTGGCTTGCTAGCAGGTTAGCAGTACCCGACATGCTCACTGTTGTTGAGGGACTCGTCTGCCACGCTGTTCAGAACAGAATGTGGTGGGTAACCCAGTGCAAGGCAAACGAACTACGGAATGTTCCACGGAGCTTACGTATAGCTAGGAATATTGGGATACTACCAGGGAGCTGTTGGGATGAAGATGAGGGATACCCATCACAGGAAACGTAATCTTGACCCGAGCAATGGCCACACTGTCGACCCAGCTCCCACTTGCCTCCGAGCAGTGAGTAGTTCAGAGCCAGTGTTGCCCTTATGACTTGGGAAGCGCCGCCACACCCGCGAGGGACGCGAGGTGGCGCCCCCTAATGGATCGGTAGCCGCGGCGCTCAGTGCCCCAGCTGTGCAAGGTCCGACTCATGCGAAGCCTTGGTCTAGGGATAGCGGCTCTTGTGAGATCGATGTCACCGACGGGGATGTTGCTCCGTCCGGGTTTCTATGCAGACGTGATAAGTTTCGGTATGCCCTACGTTTGTTCAATGTATGTGTGTACATTTCTGGACTGTTTGTAATGAGCGGATCTGGCAGTAGCTGGTCGCCTCAGGACAGCTGTCCGGATGTCATGGACTCTCTGTCAGGGTGCTGGACAGGGCTTTGCATCCGAAGTCGGGTCGCAAAATTGGCATTATTACAGGAGGTCGGGGTGCGTTAGGGTTGGAAAACATCATTTTTGGAATTATGCCATCTGCCCCGTGCCGAAAGCCAGAAACAAGAAGGCTTTTTGGTTCGCCCAGTGTCTTCCAGCTTTTGCGATATCTTGTATTATAATCGACTGCCCGCCTGTTGTATGATCACGGCGACACATTGCGTAATTGTGCTGAATGTAATGAACAAAGCACACCTCCAGCTACGTTTTGGACTGTCGATATGTAATGTCAGCGAATTTGTGTCGTACATCAGGAGTGACCAGTTCACCTAACAGCTCTGGAGATAGAACCGACCCAGTACATATTGAATGATTGTGAAAGCATCTTCACAGCGGCGTCCAGTTAGCAACTGTAGCAACTGCCGCCTGACGTGCTTCGTGGCTGGTAATGCCATGCCATTGCACGTTTTCGTCTCATGTTAGATAGGCACTGTGTGCCCTTTCACCCCTTTTAGAACTGAATGCGTTTGTTGCGCCGGACTTCTTGAAGTCATCGAAAATTGGGCCGTCTCAGATGCAGCGAACGCAGCTGTGTTCTTAAAATGTCGTCTTAGATGCGATGGCTGGCTGAGCGGTCTTGATGTCATGTTTGTGCAATGCTGCCGCGTGTGCAGCACTGACCGCAGTCGCCCCCACAGCTCCCGCACCTGAGCTGGCTCGGAGGGAGCGCTGAGGGCGCCACCTGTCCACCGCCGTGCCTGCCGCCCCGTCCGCCGTCGCCGCCGCGCTGTCCGTCTCCGGCCCGCCGTCCCCGCCCGTCGCCATGACGACCAACGGCGGCGGCCCGCTGACGCCGCCGGCCGAGGACCAGCCGGACCAGGACACGATCAAGATGTTCGTCGGCCAGATCCCGCGCCACATGGACGAGGCCGAACTGCGCGCCATGTTCGAGGAGTTCGGCGCCGTCTACCAGATCAACGTGCTGCGTGACAAGGTGAGCGGCCAGAGCAAGGGCTGCTGCTTCGTCACCTTCTTCACGCGCAAGGCGGCGCTGGAGGCGCAGAACCAGCTGCACAACGTACGCTCGCTGCCCGGCATGCACCACCCGATTCAAATGAAGCCGGCTGACACCGAGAACCGCAACGAGCGCAAGCTCTTCATCGGCATGGTGAGCAAACAGTGCGACGAGACGGACGTGCGCGGCATCTTCGCGCGCTTCGGCCCGATCGAGGAGTGCACTGTGCTGCGCGACCAGAACAACCACAGTAAGGGCTGCGCTTTCGTCACGTTCTCGTCGCGCCAGAACGCCATCAGCGCCATCAAGGCGATGCACCAATCTCAGACGATGGACGGCTGCTCGGCGCCGATGGTGGTGAAGTTCGCCGACACGCAGAAGGACAAGGACACGCGGCGCATCCAGACCGTAGCGTCCACGCTCTGGGGCTCGGGCCTCACCAGCCCGTTCAGCCCGCAATACCTGACGCTGCTGCACCAGCTGAGCGGCGGCGGCATGGGCCTGCCGGCGCTGCCCGGCTTCGGGCCGCTCGGCGCCTCGCAGCTGCTGGCGCACGGCGTGCAGAACGGCCAGGGCGTGCTGACGCCGGCGGCGCGCTTCAGCCTGGCGCCGACCACCAACGGCGCGCCACCCACCAGCGAGGCGGCGTCCAACGGCGCGCCGCCGCTCATGACGTCCGTGCCGTCGAGCAGCGCGTCGATGCCGACGCTGACGTCGCTGGGCGTGCAGAACGGCTGCCTGAGCCAGTCGTCGGGCAGCTCGTCACTGTCGGGCGCGTCGCCCGTGTCGTCGCTGCCGTCGGCGCCGGGCATGGACGTGCTGACGGCGTTCTCCGGCCTGCAGCAGTTCGGCGGCCTGACGGCGGCCGCCTTCGCGCAGGCGCACCTGGCCGCCAGCAACCCGGCCGGCAAGCGCATCGAGGGCCCCGAGGGCTGCAACCTCTTCATCTATCACCTGCCGCAGGAGATGACTGACTCGGACCTGGCGCACACGTTCATGCCGTTCGGAAACGTCATCTCGGCCAAGGTGTTCATCGACAAGCAGACCAACCTGTCCAAGTGCTTCGGCTTCGTGTCGTACGACAACCCGGCCAGCGCGCAGACGGCAATCCAAACCATGAATTGCTACCAGATCGGCACGAAAAGGCTCAAGGTGCAGCTGAAGCGCTCCAAGGAGGCGCCACGGCCGTATTAAGGTACGCAACAGTAGTGGAACAGTTGTAGGCTTTACGCCGGTACACAGGGGTACCGCTTCAAACGGAGAAGCCGTCCAAGTGGTAAATTATTGACGTGGTTCGTTGCTTCTTTTTGTACCAGATGTACACGCGTATGAGAATCAAGTGTGAACGAAGACAGCTTTTGCAGCTATTTGACTATTTGAACAAATATCAACCTCTATTATCACGTCGATGCAATATGTGTTACAAATTCGTGGTAAATTTATTGTTATTTATAGCGTGTGAACCTTTGTTAAACCAGGGATGGTGCGTTGTCGTTGCTTTTAAGTTATAACAGGTCCGGTTTTGTTCGTACTTTTAGTTTAAGTTTTATTATTTTATCGAGTGAATAGATCCGAGATTTTGTCCTGGCCGCCCGCGAAGAATGCCTAGGTAGATTAAAGCCATGCTTTCAGAGCAAGTAAGTGCTTTTCGGTGACCAGGATGCGAGATTATTTTAGAGCGGCGCCACGATATGATCCGAGGCGGAGACTGTCCTCCACGCTCGCAGCGCCGAGCCGCAGTCGGCACCGCTCGGCCGACGGGCGGGGCGGACGTACAAACGTTGTAGTTACCCTCGCCTGCTTAACGTTCCGGGTTCGGCTCCGCATGGGGAACTAGACTGACCAAAGACGCTGGCGGCCGCCGGTGTGTCTTGCCCCGCAGCCTCGCTGACGGCTGGGGTGCGGGCCGTGGAGAAGCCGGGCCCGTGGTCGCGCCGACCGCATGGACCGTTTTGTGTTGCCCCGTGTCAGCGCCGTCCGCCAGGGCCGCCGCGCCAGGCTCGCGGCCGTCGGCCCCGGAATTGTCGCACCCGATGCCAACTGGCAGCTACTGAAATTTCCCATGTGATCGCGGCTCTGCCGCCGGAAATTGTGCCCCGTACCTTGCGTGTTGTGTCCCAGTGGTCGTGGCGGCAACTGTCCGCCAAGTCGGCCCGCTCAGCGACCGCCCCCTTCTCGCCGGACTCGCCGCAATCACGCCCCCGTGGGCGGCGGCGTCTCCGCTGTCTTCAGTTGTTTGTTTAGTCTAGTGTAACGTTTTTGTGTGGTGCAGGTGATTGCTTAACATGTTTTGGTGTCGGACGTCTCTGTCGGGCAGACAGGAGGTCGGACCGCCGTCCCGGCCGTCGTTGCCTGACGGAACGGAGCCAGCCAAATTGTCCAGTTAGCCACTCGTTTTCGTGAGGCGGGGCAAGGGAGGAAAATGAGCGGGCATGTCCGTTTGCTTAGTTAATCACTATCCGTTCAGCATCCCATGATCTTTGCAAGCGTCGTTTTTGTTGTCGATTCGCCGGCTTTCAGATTTGTTTTCTGATCGAACGCTAGCTTCGTTAGAGCGAATTTTTCCTCCCCGGCCCGCGTTTGCGATCACATGGTTTGGGGTTCCCTGTCGTTTATCGTTAAGCTAGCCATTAAGTTTGCTTCGCTGGTTGGGTTTCGAGGTGGCGCTGTCGTCGGAGGTGGTTGTTTACACCGTCGTGGATCATGTTTGTATCCGATTGCCCGTGTACTCCGTCCGCCTCGTCCCTGTCGCCATGCGGCCCGCGTGGGCTCGGGCGCTTTGGGCACTCCCGCCAGCCAAACACCCCGTACTTGGACGTGGCAAGCCTGGATATACTTTGTACTGATGTTAAATTGTATTCTGTATACCATGTTATTTGAATAAATATTCTTTATTATGGATTCTTTGCCGCTGAGTGTTCCCGATATCAGCTCACAGCAGACGCATCTAGGAAGGTTGATGGGCAATGAGTGCACCAAGAGCGTACTATTTGTAGTGCACGCATTTTCCGTCTGCGCCCATCCATGTGCTTCAGAGCACCTTAATTGGTGTGGACATGGCTTATGTTCATGTTAGTTTAACGTTTCGTGGTCAGATAAAGTTAGCACATATAAACCTCCGCCGCATGTACTTTCATTAGCGCGCTCGGGCACCCTGTTGAATATTTTTCGCTCGCTCGAAATTTGAGGGTCCTAGGTCGTGACATTCGGGCCAAATAAGGTAAACCTTCATATTGGTGTCCACAGTGTCCCCAACCGCAATAAACCTAGATTCCTGTTCCAAGCAAAAGGTCACTGGTGCTCATTTTACGTCAGTTACTTATCAGACCTAAAGAAGGTCATGGTGACAAAGATCCTTCAAAAATGCTTTGATTTTTGCATTTAAATAGGTATCAAGGCTTACGCCAGGCGCTATGTTCCTGAAACAAAACATTGACGTCAGTCATTTTAGCCCAGTGACCTGTTCTGACCTTTAAGAAGTGTATGAACGATTATGGTGCGGCCCCTTTTATTGGCAAATTTGGAAAGAGCACCAGAAACTGCCTCAAATAGCAAGCTCTCGATTAAAAAGAGGTCGGTTTTGGCCTTGGTCTGACATTCATACCTGATTGTAGGTTTGCAATGAAAATTTGGTGTAGGTACAAAATGGAATTTGTAATTCAGTTGTGTTGCGTAAGAAACTATCTCGAAGATGTATGGCTTTGTGCAATACTTTGCTCCTGCATCAGATTAGACTGTCCTAGAAATTACCATTGCTGAATCCATGGCCTGACTTTGACCTGCTATAGGCTAGCGACTTTACAAGGTACACCAAAATGTTTTCCTCTAAAACAGACGCTATTCAGTTGTCTACAGCTACGCAAAATTTGTCGCGGCTACGCCGCGCCCTTTGGTATCATCCTGCAAAAACTTTGGAAGGCGTCAAAACGGCCCCTCATCCGAACGCTTTGGTGGGGGGGGGGGGGAAGGGGGCTCCGTTATTGGGACTAAACTAACAGAAGTGTAAGCAGTTCAAGAGGTGCCGCAGAATCGCAAATGCGCTGGGACATGCTGCGCTCTCTGCGCATCTTGGTATTTACCTCTTGCGGGATAGACGTATTTTCCATCAGTCTTCGCGTGTTGACCGCCACGAAAACTTCTTGCGAGATATTGTGGTGTAGCTGAGATGTGTGTCAGGTATTGCGCATTTTGACCAGGCCATAAACTCAGCGAGGTCAGTACACACACGTCTGTTTATTGGTCACTTACTTTAACGCTGTATAGGCAGTCGCTGAGGACTTGACATCGCAGTGATCCTGTGCGAGTCGCAATCTATTTTGTGAAGGAATAAGTGCTGGGGCACTGCGCTTTGTGTTATCTTGACCTTCGGCCTCGAAATTAAGTTTTTCCAGATGCAACGAAAGAGGACGCAAGCAGAAATGTGACGCCCTTTGTGGCACTTCCTTCGTGAGCTAAGGGGTACCATGCTTTTCAATTTGATGTGACCCTGACCTTAGATCTTAAAGGTGATTGTTATGTTGTGACAAAAGTGAACACCATAAAGATAAATATGCTGCCCCCATCTTATTGGATTTATTTCCTAGATAAGCCAAGTACCGGCAGAGCATCAGAGCTTTTACCTTCATGGACCTGTAGAGGTCAATTTAAGTGACTTAGAAAAAGAGGTTTGTGAAATACGAATAAGAATACGACGCTAACTTGACGGACACATCGGATACGGCGTATTGAATGGTAAAGGCGATCAGCGCGGTTTGCCCTGAGTTCTGGGTTGTCTGTAAGCAAAAATCCTTTGAATTGGAATTTGATGGCTTTTGATCGTGCAGAGGGACACCAACGTCTTAACTTTGAAAGGAACTCTTGTATGGCGCATCGAATGTTAAAGTTTTGGTAGCAATGAGACGGGTAGGTTGTGAGAGAGAGAGTCTGCTTTTACGTGGAAATTCTCCCTCTGCGCCTTTTCGGTGTTTGACTCTAGGCTGTGTCACGATATTGCAACCCTCTTTCTAGCCACGTCGCATTGCATTGATTGGTGAAGGTTTTAAAGCAATATAATGAACGGTTTCGGAGAAGGAGCACATATGCTTGATATGCTGTTCTTTAGTCCCCCCCCCCCCCCCCGATGCATATCGCTGCATTACATTAGGCTGCAAAATACTTTCATATATGACGCATTTGTTTCGTTCTTAGCGCGTTTGCCGGTGCATGAGAATCTGAAGATCGAGCCTGACTGTTGCGCGAATTTGCTGCGCGTTTACCACGGGCACGACTTGGCAAGCTTGGCTTGGAAAGGACGCGTAGGCAGACGTGTGCGAGATATAAAATATCTCCCTTGAAAACGGTTTCATGGAAACCTTATTCTTGTGCCGATAGTTAAGCACTGTCCAAGGCTATCTAACGGTCTCGTAGTTGGCCGTCTTGTATTTGTTTGGGTGTGTGATTTGCTCGCAGAGCTAAGGATGAAGTATCATTTAAGATTGATCGTCAGCTTTGCTCTGTGTATTTTGACCAGCGGTACTCCTACAAATGAGGTAAGTCAATAACTCAGCACCAGCCTTGTGTGCTGCACTAGCTACTTAATAATTAATTGGCCTGTGGTTTGTGGCATACTTTACCAATATATTATGTAGCTAATGACTGCCCTTAGTATGAGGTGCTGAAGCTGTCCTGAAAATATCATCAATGCCTCAGCCAATGCTTGAGCTAGCCATTGCAGCAAAGGTGTCATGACTTGTGAGTTATGTGCTTGTCAGGTAGTATTGTTTTCATAGTGATCTCAGCCCCTCCATCCATATCTATTATTATGGTCATCCAAGCCCAGACTGCAAAAAATACATGTGATGCTTAATATATTTGGTGTAGCAGTGAGATTGCAATAAGTGAGTGCTCAGAGTTTGTTTCAGGTACCTCACCACCAATTTCTGTCCATAGATATATAACATTTCATTGATTTATGTTGTTGCAGATTGTATTTGACAGTTATGCCATATAAAAATTGAGTAAACAAAAATAATAGGAAACTCAGCACAGTCTGGCCCATCATGAGATCTGCAAACACAAGTCTTAAAGTACAGCACACCAAAGTGTGGTTGTTCAGTGCAACACATGGATTTTTCACTGGCAAGTTACAAGCTCCAAAAAGTGGTGTATATATATATATATATATATATATAGCTTAATATATACATAGTAATAGTTATATATGTGGTTTTATGTGCATATATATATATATATATATATATATATATATATATATATATATATATATATATATATACATGTAACAGTTGTTAACCTGGGAATCAAAGTATTCTCAATACAGATTTTGTCCAAAATTGCAGCTGACTTGATACTGGTGATCTTTCTCATGTTTTCTCAGTAAGTGTGATGGCATATTTCACTTTTCATCAATGTTGGGTTAAAACAGTACCGAAGGTTATGATGTAAAGAAGATACAGGTTGCCACATTGCACTGTGTGGTGTTCATTGCATTCTAAACATTATATGTGTCGTTAGACATTTTCTAAAGTGATGGTTTTAGACAAAGTATATTTAATCCTGTAAAATTCAAGCACTCCTGACTATTCTAACACAGGTCTGAGATCTACATACATCAGTTTTTTTGCTGTATCAGTATAGCACAAATATACTACATGCTGATGAAAACACAAATAAGCATAAACACATTACATGTACTCAGCATTGTCAGGTAACAACACCCACACACAGTTATTGCCAACTCCATTGGCCAATTCACCTATTGCAGGCAGTCTGGTTTGCATGAAGCTTTCTCTGGCTGCATGTTGGGCTACATCCTGGGGCCAATACATTACCAATGAGCAAAATATTGTGGGCATCATCATCTGCCATCACATGAACTGTTATGGACTTAGACAGGCCGGCATCAGGTGTGACCAGCACATGGCAGATGGTCAACCCACTGCAGGCCCTGAGTGAGCAGAGCTTTAGGGTCCAGTAACATGGGATGCATGTGGTCCTGTATGGGTCATTGTGCATAGATTTTCAAGGGCAACATCATTACATGTCGTATGAAAAGAGTGCAGCCAACAAAGTTGTTGTTCTTGTTATCAATTGTATGTGCGGAGCAGGAAACTGAAAATGCCTCCTGTATTTACATAGCATTTTGTATCATTCAGCTGCATGAAGTGGTCATACCCACCATTCCTGTCATGTATGTTATCCATGCCCACAGATACCATCAGGGTTCTTTGCAAACCATACCAACAACTGGGCCGTCCTGGTGGATGCATCTAGATTCTGGTTCAACTACCGACATGTGGCCAATGTGCTTTCTGTCTACAGAAGTGTAAAGAAACTTGGCATACCAGACAGGTAATGTCTTGATGTTTTTGTGAAAATTCCTCTCTGTGGTTTGCTTTATTATTTATACAGAGTGGCAGCACTTAATTGTGGTTCAGCTTGGCATCCTAATATGTGGGCTACCTTTGCACTGTAAGGTGAACTTGCACTGGATTTTGTTTTGATGTTTTCTGTGGCAGTATGATGCTTCACACCATCAAAGTATCAACAGTTTGTCAGTTTTCACTTTTTGTTGGAACAAGTGAATGCCATTATGTGGCTGTGTGAATAACTGAAACCTAAATCTACCTGACCTGACCTGACTGGATCGCCCGAAGTAAAAGTGCGGTCTGCTGACAAGACTCCTTTCTTTCAGCCACATCATCCTGATGCTGGCGGATGACATGGCCTGCAACCCCCGCAACCCTCGACCCGCCACCGTCTTCAACAATGCGAACCAGCACATCAACGTCTATGGCAGCGACGTGGAAGTTGACTACCGAGGGGACGAGGTGAGGGTGTGACAGTGAGCTCGGCTGCAGTGACCTCTGCACGCACGCGCACATGGTTGTCGCGCGTTATGCCGCGGCCGTGTCGCGGTCCAGCCCACCCGCCCCTGCACCGACCCGACAACGCTGTGGAGTGATGACAGCGCAGGCCGGCCGCGCTGGCCGTGTCTGCGAGCCGCTGCCGTGTCGACCGAGCAGACGACTGGTACCGTTCGCCGCAGGTGACGGTGGAGCGATTTGTGCGCCTGCTGACGGGCCGGCTCGAGCCGTCCACGCCGCCCTCCAAGCGCCTGCTCACCGACGACCGCAGCAACGTGCTCATCTACATGACGGGTCACGGCGGCGACGGCTTCCTCAAGTTCCAGGACGCCGAGGAGATCACCAGCACCGAGCTGGCCGACGCCTTCGAGCAGATGTGGCAGCAGCGCAGGTCTGCAACGGGCTGAGATGTTCCCCGCAGTCGGTAGAAACACAGAGCCGACTTTTCGATATGACGATTGCACGAGATAAATCACGCATTTTGGGGTGTCTTTGTCATCTTCCTTAAGGTGAGAGTTCTGGACATCATTGTGTTTTTTGAAGGTTGAATCAAACAATTACATGGCTAAGTTACACTGTTCAAGAATGGTGGTACATGATGCGTCTGTTCCTCCTTGCTGCGTTCTGTTCATTTCCTCGGTACTGTGGCACAATTATGATTACTGCGGATGACTTGTGGCACTCCGTCCCAGGTACAACAACATATTCTTCATGATCGACACGTGTCAGGCGGCATCAATGTACGAAAAGTTTTACTCGCCCAACATTCTGGCAGTGGCGAGTAGCCAAGTCGGGGAGGACTCGCTATCTGTGAGTAGTTCAGTTAACCAGCAGGTAATGATTGGCAGCTTTAGGAGATAATTCTTGGTTCTTCTAATAACACCAGGGCTCTCTGTACGCGTTGAAATGATTGTTCAAATTGCTGTTAGTCTCTGTTTACTGACTCTTCTCTAGACGTGGCTGACGCCGTGGGCCCGCGTGTAAGGCCGGGCATTCGCTGCTGTCGGGTGTCGTCCGTGATGATGTGTTGGCGGCCGAAGAGTGATGCCGACCCGGTGCTGCTGTGGACATTCGCTGCTGTCGGGTGTCGTCCGTGATGATGTGTTGGCGGTCGAAGAGTGATGCTGACCCGGTGCTGCTGTGGACATTCGCTGCTGTCGGGTGTCGTCTGTGATGATGTGTTGGTGGTCGAAGAGTGGTGCCGACCTAGTGCTGCTGTGGACTTTATGCTGTTGGTTTCTCGAGGCTTTTGCGTGTCCTGAGAGCACTGCAGTTTCGTTAGCGCCGATCCACTGTGGCCCTAATGCGCGGTGCGGCTTTTCCTGAAATGGTTTTCCCTTTCCAGCACCATTTGGACGCATCGCTTGGCGTTTACGTCATCGACAAGTATACGTACCACGCGCTGGACTTCATGGAAAAGCTGAGGAAGGATAGCAAGAAGTCTATGGCTGACTTTGTAAGGAAATGACTAACTAGGGCGGCTGCACAGGGGCTGATCTCGTCGGCCACGCATTACGTCGCACGATGCATGGTCACAAATTTGCAGTTATTCAGCTGCAGGTGGTTGTGCCGCTCAGGATGGAGGCTGTCCTACTGTTTCAGGTTCTCCCGCACGTTTGGTTTAATGTGAAGGTGCCTTCCTACAGCACCCTAAACCAAATCTGGTCCCCATGAAACCTTACTTTGCTATTTTGCCCAGCTAAATCGATTTTGACTGAATCGCAATGTAAGTTGTGCAGCTTACTCTGGCTGAAAGCGGCACAGGGAAACCAGTCGGTTGCGAGTCCAACTCGAGATGATGTACCTCAGTCTCTGAATGAATTATGGCGAGGCTCATTCCAGTGACAAGTTAACCATTTCTTATGAAACTGTGTTAATGTACCACTGTCACGTGGCATACATAAAGGATATAAGATTGCTCATATTTGAGCCGACTTATCTCTGTCTTAATCGACGCTATTCTGAGTCCATCTCACAGCATATTTTATAAAAGCGATACTGCCCTCATTCCGTTCGCATTTCGAACATTTCCGGGCCGACTCTGACTCAGTTCGGAACAAGCACAAGTCTGTCCAGAGCATATCACTGTTATTGATCCGTGAGTTACAGATCTGTGGTTCATTCGACGTCACGTGTGTGGATAAGCGATCATGTCGGTGTGTGTCCCATGCTCAGATCGTGTCAGTGATTTAGGCGTGATCATGGAGTCAGCTTTGTCCTGAGAGCTGCACGTGGGCCATGTCACTAGGTGCTGTTTTGACATCCTTGTCACTCTCCCAAATGCCAGACACGTTACCTGCCAATGCTCTGCCACACATCATGGAAGCACCCGTGTTCTCCCGTATCCGTTACTACGCTCAGGTGTGCTGTTGTGGCATTACAGGAAGTATTCAACTTGGCAGCTGTACTGATCTCGGCATGACGAATGTGACCATGTGTCGGATGTTCCGCGACGGTTGGACTGGTTTAGTGTCCAAAAGATTATAAAATCATCAGAACACCGTGCGCAGTACGCGTCAATCTAGCCATTTATCTCTCTCGTTCCAAGAACAATCACGGAAGCTCGCCCTTCGTGCAATGACTGTAGACTTGCCCTTCTCATTTTTAAGGCCCTTGTCCGTGACATTTCCAAAGTACCTGACATTTTTAACAACTTGCACATGTCTTGTGTCGTGTTTAAGCTTGTCGCCTTGTGAATGTCAAATTACCTGTGCATGTAGGAATAAAGATAGCTCCAAATGCTAAGTGGCCTGATTTAGTGTAATACATTACAATACTATACTACTGTGATCGATGTGAAAGCCTCACCAGATTGTTCGTGCCTTCTGTGCTCCGTGGTGCAACCCGTTCCAGCCGTTGGTGTCCCCGTCATTAATTCCTCTTCCGCTGGTCCTTGTGATCCGTTAAACGCGTGTTTTCATGTCACTAGCCCCCTACACTGACCCCTGTGACCTACTAGACGCCTGTTATAGCTGTGGACATGTTCTTGTCACCTGTGTCCCCTTGACCTCTGTGACCCATGACGTCTGTTTCGGCTGCGGGTGTGTCCTCGTCACCAGTGCCCCCTGACATCTGTGACCCGTGACGTCTGTCCCAGCTGCGGGTGTATCCCCGTCACCAGTGCTGTGTTGACCCCTGTAACCGGTGACGTCTGTTCCAGCTGCGGGTGTGTCCCCGTCACCAGTGCGTCTCGACAGTGGGCGTGCGCAGTGACCTGTTCCCGCGCAACCCGGCCGACGTGCGCGTCACAGAGTTTTTCGGCTCCGTGCGGAACGTGGAGCGCACTGACCACGTGGTGGACCTGGGCGAGTCGGCCGCCGAACCGGCCGCGCCGCCTCGGTGAGTGCTCGCTCGAGCCGGCACTTCATCGTTGCCGCTTCACAGCCGCGTGCTTAGTGGTGGCCACTGCTTGGGGCGCCCAGTCCGCTGGTCATCCTCGGGGCAGCTGGGCTGTCGGTGTGTCGGTCACAGTGCCGGTCTGAAGTCTGTCCAAGCTGCAGTTCGTTGAAGGTTTTGCTGGAGTTTCTATAGAAAGTTCGCTCTTTTTACTAGCGACAATCAAAAGCTGGCCATTAAGAACAAGAGACGCCGATCTGTTGCCATGGCCGGGCATTCAGACATCTGCGTTCCTCTTCTGATTTGATCCCGTGTTGCAGGCCAGCAGAGGGGACCGAACCCGCCGCCGCCGCCGCCGCCAACACATATAGATACGTGCCTCAGTTTCCCATCATGTCATAGCCCCGAGTGCAGCACTGAAGTCCGATCCAGGACTGCAGTTACTCTCAGTTTTCTTTCTCCGTCGTGTCAGTGCTTGTGACGGAGAAAATATGTGATTGCAAAGCTTGCACGAGCGCAACAACGCTCTGCCGCGGGCGAATTGTGATGCTTATTACACATCGCATGAGACAGGTTTCTGCTTGCGCATTATGAACATTCTGCTTCGCCCGGTGAGATTGAGCCGCCGTACCTCGTATTTTATTGTCGTGTGTAATATAATGTGGACGTACGCTCCCTTCTCCGTGAATTCCGAGCAGTTCCATTGGAAGGCCAATTACCCACAGCTGTGCTATAAATAGCCTGCCTTTGTAGTGCTGGGCCGAGACTGGCTGCGGGTGATCGCTCGTGAGCTAGCCTGACCTGCACCTTGCATGGGTGCCATCACCCACCGTGTTTGTCCCCCCTGCCCCCCCCCCCCCCCGAGGTCAAACTGAAAGCGGGCCGTCCACGGCCCGCCTCCGCCCCGTTTGAAGCAGGGTGTCATTACCGGCCGGATCGCCCAGAGCTCGTTTGCGTTTTTCTGTGTCGCCGTGCTGCGCGAGTGTCGCGAGAGACCACCTGGCGGCCGTGCATGAAAGCGCCAGACCTGGCGGCATGTCTACAAACGTGCCGTGCCTGGAAAGCTTTCACATTTTTCCCACCTCGCATCCTGGTGGACATACCACAACGTGTTCTGTGACGGTATAAAGGTGCGATTTAACAGCAAAAAGCTAAAGACCAGAGAATCCCTAGATTCAGAGATTTTGTTTCATACGGCTTAACGGCCAGATCTCAGGCATTAAAACTCTTGCGAACGACGGCTCATCAATTGGCTTGCTTACATAGGTTATCCGGGCGATCCCTTGGCTAGGAAAATATGTAAAGAAAGGTTGTTCACGCACTTCAAAATTAGGTTCTGCTCATCCAACAATGTCAGTTTTTATGCGGTAGCTGACTAAAACAATCGACCACGGGGTGTGTGACACCGAAATCGCCTTGTCGACGTGAGCCTTCATAAAGGTGAACCATGGCTGACCAACTTTAATGGTGACGTGGGTTCGTGCAGGCGTACAAACTGCGGACGGAAATAGCACCAGCAGTCGTCTTGCACCCTATCCCGGATCACGGCCATCGTTCTTGCGTATGACGCGTGGAGACCGGTTAGTCAGCCTTTTTGTCACTGGATCCGGGTGTGCTCTGACGTACTCCGCTGTCACGTGGTGACCAAGTTGGGGGAGTGGGGTTGACACTACGACTAGAGCACGCAGACTTGTCTGGCAAGGATCAATACCAGATGGGCAGAAGCACGCAGGTGTCATCATCTGAGACGAATCAAAATGAACTTCGGGCAGGTCCAACGATACCCATTCCGGGGTGGTAACCACTGCGGGCATTAATCGACGCATGATCAGTAACTGTGCGCAAACGCACACATCAAACTCGCTGTTCAGTAGGACATGTATTCAGCGGACGCGGCGGACACGACAGTCCAGTCCCCCGCGACGAATCTTCTGGTCAGAGCAGGTACAGGGGTTCCTTATCGACTCGTAAATACCATGCGCTCCACACTCCGCTCGCGACTCTCCACTTACTCTCCCACACAATCTCCCGCATTCACCACCCGCGCAGCAGACCGCACCGGTACGTCGCCGTCGACTCGCCCGTCTCCAGGGTTACACCGCGCGCCGCCCCGGTGGAGTCTACCGCTTCCCGAGCTCTACTTGTTGTAGGGCTCGGGCGCGAAGCCCGGTCCGTAGCTGTACTGCGGCTCCGGCGCGTACTGCTGGGAGGACCGCTTGGCCTCCTCCTCGGGCGTCGGCAGGTAGGGGTTCTTGTACGGATCCAAGTTTACGCTGAAACGACGAGAGCGGGTATAAGGCTTCGAGGGATCGACCGGCCAGCAGGGAGGTACTGTGTCTGGCGGGGACGTCTGCCACGACAGTAATGCTCAAAGCGAGGGTGAGCGTGATGCTCCATGCCGGCTGGTCAAATGAACACGGCAAGACTCCCGTGCATCTTGAGAACGTCAGACCATGAAATGCCACTAACGAGCCTGACGAGAGCGTTTGGTTGCGATAGTCTGTCGTAACGTGCCTCAGCATTTGGTAATCGGACATTGGGAGATGCATGCACGTGAGCCGGGCGTGTACCTGGCGCTGACACTGCCGGGGCGTCTCAGACCTCAGGACGCTCGCTTCTCCCGCGTCCCAAGCCGACGCTGAACCCCCGGGCCCGGCTGACTCACTCGTACTGCTTGACGGCGGCGCCGCAGTCCACGTTGTACCACCAGTCGCAGGTCAGCTCGTACTGGTTGAACAGCGTGCCGTTGGTGCAGAGGAACGAGGCGCCGGCGTAACCGTGCCGGTTGTCCTCGCCGCAGATGTGGTACGCCTGGTGGGACACGTCCGAGGGTGGGCAGCGTCACAGGTGTGCGTTGTCAGCAGTGGAGCCGTGTCCGGAAGTTAGACCGACACAGCGTGTGCGCTGGCCGGCTCTCAGGGCTCGAGGAGTCCAGTCCAGTCAGCGTGTGGTTTGCGTCGGCTACAAACGCTGGCAGTGACGCAGTAAGTCGGGACCATTCACCGGGTGCGATACGGACGGTAGGTCGGGACCAGTCACCGGATGGGATACGGACAGTAGGTCGGGACCAGTCATCGGATGGGATACGGACAGTAGGTCGGGACCAGTCACCGGATGCGATGCGGACACAAACATCACTTGATTTCTAATTCCCTTTCTTTCTAAATCTTTCATCACCGTCACTCGAATGGTGCGATGGCCGCTTTGTGGTGAAAACATTCGAGGCGTAATTAGGGAGTGGTTCTTCGGCCGAACATCGTAAAAGTGGTTTTCTCTCCCCACTGCGATGTCGTTTTAGGCGATTGGATGGTCAGACAGTAGACAAAAAAGCGTTGCTATTATCGCAGTGTTGTCCCCCTCCTCTGTCTTCATGTCATATTCATGTACGCTGTATCTTTACAATGCTGATACATGCAAGCTCTCGTCTATGTAAATCTTGGGCCAAAAGTTCACCGTGCAAGGGCATCGCTCACGCTGTGCGAATGGAGCGTAACATATCAGGCCGCTGTAGCTCTTAAAACACTGGCACACACTGATGAACAGTAATGTCGGGCGACGGATCTTTTGGACAATATTGCAACACAACGGACAGATGCTGAGATTGTGGACATTGTTGCGATCACCCGCTGAATGGCCCCTTTCGTGGCACAAATAATGCTTCTAGGAAGCACATCCATAGCGACCCACGGACTCATCTGACCACAGACATTAACGCTGCCCCAGATCAAGACCGAGACGCGTCATGCACTCTGGCAGCCCGACCGGCGGCAGCGGCGCCGACGTACCTGGCAGCCGGTCTCGGCGTCGGCGTAAAGGCCGGGCCGGTACGGCACCTGATCGCACGTGAAGCCCGTCTCCGGCACCTGCGGGCACGGCGGCGGGCGCGTCAGCGCACATCCCGCCCGCGGCGGCACGGCCGAGCCGCGCGCAGCGCCCGGGCCCTGAGGCCCCACTGCCAGTCACGTGGCGTGGAGCGAGTCCAACCCGGAACTGTGTCGTGCTGTTGCAATGGTGCAGTTATTACGGGCGGAATGCCGGGTCGTTGTTGCGTTCGCGCTAGTGTACATTCCTTGCATGTCTTATACGGCAATTGTGAGGCTTGCTGAGAAGCTTATGTCTCGGCAGCTCTGGCCGAATGAAGGGGATCTGTATGGCTGTGAAAGCTTCTGGTCCGTGAACTTTGAAGTTATCGTGCATGAGGTCATTATTCGATTAACCTGGCGCGCAGTCGCGATCCGGCGGGAGCTCAGACTGCGGGGCGGGGCAGATTGGGCGCGTGCCCCGTCTGGTCCGGAATACCGTCCAGAGCGTTGGTAGTTCCCGAGCTCCGTATCGTTCTTCATCGGCTTACCGTGTAGAGCTGTTAGCATTAGCTGGCTTATGGGCTACCCAACATAGGCGTGCCATTTGTAGGGTTCTGTGGTTATTGGGGCAGTGGTGGTTGATGGAGTAATCTTTATCCTAGGACCGGAGTATGCTCCACGCTTTTTCGCGGTTGGTGTTGACGCATATCCTTGGCCATCGATCTACGTCCGGACTCTCCCGGCCCTGTCTTGTGCCATTGTGTCTTAAGATTGGACAATCATGTCGGGATTACCCCCAGGCGTTCGTTCGCACCTTGTCACAGGGCGACTGGTCCTGCCCGACATTACCCCCTCCCCTTATTCGTTTAATGCACATCGGGTGCTTTTGTCCCATATTATCCTACCATCCTTGCTATTCTGCTGGAGCACGTCGGGGGCTTTGTCCGACATCGCACTTTCTTTGCGCCTTCCTTACCGTGTCTTAGCGGTGCCCCTGCCCCAGGTGCCCCGCGTCGTACCGGTGCCCCCCCCCCCCCCCCCCTCCTCCTCCCGGATTGGGTGGCCGTGTATCGCGCTGTCCCTCCCCCGGGCGTCCTTACCGCGTCGTAGAGTGGGTAGTCCTGGCCGGGCTGGCCGGGGATCTTGCTCAGATCCTGGACGGGCGCGCCGCCGTAGCGCGCCTCACTGCCGTAGCTGGCCTCGGGGGCCGTGTACAGCACCGGTCCGGCAGGCTGCAGCTTCTTCACCTGCCGCGCACACGGATGACACGTGTGACACACAGCGACACGGTCTCGCATCATAGGAGCCGATCATCCGCTCGGGCTTCTCGACAATCTTATTTCGGTTGCCTCCAACAGCCGTGCCGGTTAATAGCCAACGTTTCACTTCACTCAAAGGGTCACTGAATACAGAGACAGAGAATAGACGTGACAGAGCAAATTGTCGGTGGTTGGACTACGACAGCCCCAAGATCATGACACGCATGAATGTGGCCGTCCTGGCCCGTCCATAACCCGTAGGCCTTTATATATGCCCACAATTTCGCCGTCCATGCCATCACCTAACCAACCTCGTCCCCGGCGTACTCTCGTCCCGTTTCTCGTCGGCCTCACCTGCTTGCGTTCGCGGGGCACGAAGGGCTTGGGCACAAACTTGGGCCTGGCGGGCTGGATGGGCTCCAGGATGGGCGCAGCCACGAGCGGTCCGTTGTAGTTGAGGTTCGGGTCGAAGTAGACCGTCGTAGTCCTCGGGGTTCTCCACCTTGGGCTTGTCTGCCGGCCGGATTCGCCTCGGCACCTCGTCACGGTACAGGGTGTCGCCATTGTTGACGACGGGCGGCAGCACGCCCCTGAGGCAGGGGACAATGTGTGACGAGG